ATAGCAGGTCAGTGTTTTGATAACAATACATTACATTTTGATTGAATTTAATTACTTAATTGTTGTCACAATCACCTCTCACTACCATTGCACTGTCCCTTTGGGGTTCATTGAGATTTATTTTTGGTCAGCTATAATATCTGCTTTGTGCTCACCCTCCTGACAGCATAAATCAGACCTAACTCCTAGATGCTCTGTGATATTCAACTGAAGAAAAGTTAAAAACAAACAAGTTAGATGAACTTATCTGTTTCCACACATGTTTCACTTCTCAAATTCTTCAGCATTCTTTAATAAAAGACGTTCACATTGAGTAATTGCAGCCTATTTTGTACAAACTTTGAATGCGTGTGGAACGAATAACACCTGAAGAGGACATTGTAAACAGAATAAAAAAATAAACGAGTTCAGTTATAATCTTTGGGAAAGCTGTTCTCCCTCTGTCTTTTGATGTGCGATTATTGTGGGTGCTCTCGCCACTTGGTGATGTGGGGTACTTTACTGTTTTTGGCAGAATGACGTGAGCTAAAAATAAATAAATAAATAAACAAATAATGTTGATTAATGCAGTGCAGAGTTAGGGTTAGCTAATCCTTTGTTAACGTTTGAGCAGAATTCATGAAATATCAGAAGACAATAACTAATCAAGATGAAAGGAACATCTGAACTATGGTCTTTTTATTTTTTATTTTTTGCTCTCTCTTAGTATATCCTGCCTAAGCATACCAGGCATACCACATGATGAAGCTGGATGCCTACATGTGCCAGGGATTTTTTTCTCTGCAAAAAGGATGCATAGAAGCGTCCTAATAACATGATTAACTTTATTTGCATAAAAGTAGACAGGTTTCACAACAGGTTCTGCACCTGTGTCAGTATGGCCTTCAGCCAAATGGGTGAGTTGTAAAACAACATGAGTGGCAATGGAACAGCAGGCTTTGCTCCCAACACGGAAATGCCAACAATTGCAGTTCCAACCGTATCCGCTAGGGGCTGGCTCCAAAACAGTTAAAATTCCCATTGACTCCCATGTTAAAAAAGCCAATGCCTTATTTACAGCCTGGTTCAAAAAAACGTTTTTAGATCTAGTTTACACTCATGACAACTCTGAGATTGGTGACTTTTTTTAACTATTCTGCTTAAGTTCTTGAAATTATGAATAATTAATGAGCATTAGAGCCAGCTAGCACTGGGAGCAAGCTCCAGGGAAAGGCCTCAGCCTGGGCCTCACATTAATAGATGTTTGACCATTTCCACTTTCTGAAATTTAGTTATGTCCTCTGTGCGTTTGTGTTTGGATGTTAATCATAGAATTATTTGGACAAAGAGGGCAAGTTGTGATATTGTCTGCAGAAACAGATCATCCAAGCAGATTTTGCTTCATTTTAATCAGTAAGAAAAATTATATTTCTGCACTTTATTTTGCTGGTTAAATGAGGGGTAATGCAGTGAATTTTAAATAACTTTGCTGGTCCACTGCGGTCAAAGATTCACAAGGTCGCTGCTGCAGAGAGGTTTGCCGAGTTTTGGCAACGTGCCTCTCCCGTTAACAGCAGCAGTCCTGAGATCAGAGATCCATGAATCTGCTGCTTCATCTTTCAGAGGCAGCCCAGTGAGGTGGGCAGCCAGCTTCCCCTTTTCTGCTTCACGCAGGCGGCACACTTCCATCTCCCGAGGGGGCCGAGAGGCTCCATGCGTCTGCCTGGCTTCCATGCGAGGCTGTGGTTGTGCTGCTTGCCTGGGGAGCTCTCTGAGGGAGATTACTGAAACACCGCTGCTCGTTCAGTTGATTTTGGAGTCGCTTTACTGCCTTTTGCTCGCTAAAAGTGCCAGAAAAAACCTCTGTTAGCTTGAGTTAGCGTGTAGCTAATCTCCCGCTGATCTCCGACCGAGGCCGAGCATGAACTCACATAAGCGTAAGTGGCCAGGGTGCCCGGCTTTGAGGCACTGCCTGTATTTTAACAGTCCATATTAAAGCTCCACAGGTTACCAGCCTTGCTTGGAAGTCAAGCAGCGATGCGAGTCGGCTACCCCTAAGCCCCTTTTTAGCGTCTTGGGTTAGCTAAGTGTGCTAGTAGCTACATAGTTTCATTTGTTCTAACCCTGTTCCAAAGGTAAAAGCTCCACCCTATGCTTATTCCCATCCAAAATGGCGATGGTGGGCACCTCCCATTTTGTCTAAAAAAACTTAACATTTGAGCCTATAGACATTATTTGTCCATGGGTGTGAATGTCTATGTCCATTGACATTTATGTCAATGGTGAGTGGGTGTCAGAGATGGATTGTGTTTTGCTAGATCAGGTGTTTATGTACAGGTGTTGTGCGCTGTAATTTGTTATTTGGAATTTAATTGAAATTAAATGTTGAGTGTAACAGAATAGAGACATGTAACTATCTAGAGTGGTATTTTAATACACTGTAAGTAGATCACTTGTTATAATCAGAAGATAGGCTGTTTTTATCATCAGGGAGTTTAATTAAACACTCTGTATTGACTTTGAGACAAGAAAAGAGAGAGAGTTGGGATCGTTTGAGAATCTTTAATTTCTTAATTATAAATTCTTAACAATCTACCAGGACTAACTCTGTGATGGATGAAAATGCATTTGGATGTTGTGTTGGTGCGTGTGTGTGTGTGTGTGTGGTTGGTTCAGACTCCTTAGGCTGACGTCATTGAATCTGGTAGTCTTTGTTATGACTAGATATCACGAGGCTTATAAAGTGATGATATGAGCTGCTATTTTGCCGTGTACGTACCCAGTGGGGGGTCTCCCAGGTAGATCAGGAAATGCCAGGTCCAAGAACCTCGGATGTGTACTTTAGCTGTCGGAGTAGCGGTCGCAGCACGTCAAAGCCCGTCTGAAGGGTCGACCCCGGTACCAATCGGCAGCGTCAGCAGGTGCTCTTATTTTGAAAGGATGTCGTCTGGTTGTTAAACGACGAAAATCTCCAACTTCACAGTTCTTAGTTTAAAGAAGAAAACACATCTGGCCAGGCTGTGCTTTTCTTTAGGATGATGGTGAATAGAACTGAAGTCAAAATGGAACTGAGCTTAAAATGGCGTTGCCTTGTTTTATATCTCTGAATTGTTGATAAGTTTTAGTAAAGCGGATTGGATACTTTAAGTCAACAAGCCAGATTCTCCTGCGGCAGCCGAAAGCTCTGATTGGTTGGAACAATGTGTCATGCGTTTCTATGGAGATGAGGGTCAGTCTGTCTGTGCAATAGTCCTGTTTTCATTAAACACATAAATCATGACATCTTTATTCCACAGATCATTCACTTGATTAATTATTGATCAACATATGTTTTGCTTAATTTTTTTAATCACAAATAAAGTACTTTGATTAAGTAAAAGCGTTCTTCTTCTCCTTCGGACTCTTCTCCTGGAATGTAAACAGTCTGAGGAACACCCGACCTTGGCGTTTTCAACACGGGTGTTACTGGGCACAGGGGCAGCTGTGTGGAGCTGAAAATAATGAACTTCATAACCTTACATGAGCGATGTATAAACCCTACAGCACTCAGCACCAAGAACAGCAAGGGCCAGACACAAAGCAGTTAAAGGGTAGAACCACGCCATATTAACTTCAGGGTTCATTTCAAGATCCTGGTTCTGGTCTATAGGGCCTTACATGGACAAGCACCATCTTACATTAGTGATCTTCTTAGTCCCTACACCCCCAGCAGATCCCTGAGGTCCAGTGATCAAAGCCTACTGGTTGTGCAGCACCAGGCTAAAGGTCAAAGGTGACAGATCATCTGCTGCTGTGGCCCCCAGACTCTGGAACTCTCTCCCCCTGAGCCTGAGATCAGTGGACTCAGTGGTCTCCTTCAAAAACCAGCTGAAGACTCACTTGATCAAGCTGGCTTTTGGATGACCTTCTTCAACCCCTCTCTCTTTATTCTGCTCTCCCCACCTATTCCAGCTTCCTCAGGATCCACTGATTTCACTCTTTCCTATTCACTCTCTCTCTTTCTTAACATTTTTTTATATCCCAATTGCCTATTTTTGCTCATTTTGAATATATTTTTAAACATTTTCTAAATGCTTTTTTTAATATATTTTGTTTTTGTGATGTGCCTCGTGATTTTTATCTTGAAAGGCGCTATAGAAATGATATTTTCTTCTTCTTCTTCATATCCCTATCCCTTCTCCTCATATATATGTGTATGTCTGTGTTCGTGTGTGGTGATGTAGGTGCTATTGTATTTGTCTACAGGATATTAAACCATCCCCACCTCAGTCCCAAAGCCCAATGTTTCTACAATGTAGTCATATTTAAGTGCAGGACAGGTCTGAGAAAAGCAAAGAATAGTTTCCACCTGCAAGCAAGGCCCAAATCTCCCATGCCTCAGGCCCTACTGTTGTATGGTCTTGTGTATGTTATTGGGAGGGGTTAGAGGCTATGGTGCATGGAGTCCCTGCCAGAAACCAGCTCATGACTGATCCCAGCCCTGTGTCAACCAGTTCAAACCAACCACGTGGACGGTGTATCCACTGACCACTGGGAGTTTCCTGAAGCCACAAAAGAGAAGTCTTCTAAGGGTGACCTCCAGGTGTGGGCGTAGCCACCCATCTGAGCTAAGGCTCCAACTTTGATCTAGCTGTTTCCTTGCCTTTTTCTTTTTCTTAGTTCCCTCAATACTCTATTGTTGCATTTCAGAAATGCAAATTTACTGTTTAGAAAATCACTGACAGTTACAGAAATTCTATCACCGAGCATAAACGCATGTTTGCAGTTGTACAGATTCATAAATGAGTGGTGTTGCTTCCAGGTTTCCAATTGTAAAGTACTCCGGGGTCGCACACACACACACACACACACACACACACACACACACACACACACACACACACACACACACACACACACACACACACACACACACAAAACACCAAATTACCCTCTGTGAAACAAAAACTCAGGATTCCTGCTTTATATAGCTCATTAACTATATCACTTATTTCTGTGTGTTTGACAGGTGTGATTGCAACATGGATAACAACAGCTTGCAGTGGATACAAGATCTTAACGCATCTCTGCAGAATGAACTTCAGTCATGTTCTACACTGAGGAACCAGATCTCACGGATTTTTCTGTACACCTTCCTCTCACTTGGAGTAGTGAGCACTGTGGTGGGCAATTTTCTGGTCGTTTTGTCCATCGCCTACTTCAAGCAGCTGCAGTCTCCGACAAATTATTTCGTCATGTCCCTTGCAGTGGCTGACTGCCTTGTTGGCCTTTTGGTGATGCCTTACAGTATGATGCGGACAGTGGAGGGATGCTGGTACTTTGGTGCCTTGTTTTGTAAGCTTCACTCCAGCCTGGATGTTATGCTCTGCACTGCTTCCATATTCCATCTCAGCTGCATTGCTTTTGACCGTTATTATGCAGTCTGCAACCCCCTTGTTTATTCTTTGAAGATGTCCCCCAATCGGGTAGCTCTACTGATTGCAGTATGCTGGGTTATTCCCATGCTCATCTCCTTTGGCCCCATAATGCTAGATCTTCACACAGCTGATGTTGGCATACAGATTCCTGAAAATGTGTGCATGTTCTTGGTGAGTCGGGTTTACGCCATCATGGCCTCTTCGGTAGCTTTTTATTTGCCTATGGTTGTCATGCTGGTTGCCTACTGGAAGATCTTCAAAGCTGCTAAGCGACAGGCCAAGCAGATCAGTGCGATGGAAAGCCAGATGGCTTCTGGGGTCGGCAAAGATTCCAGCAAGAAAAAAAGACATCGCAACACTATGAAGAGGGAAGGAAAGGCAGCCAAAACTTTAGGCATCATCATGGGGGTTTTTATCATCTTCTGGATGCCATTTTTTACGCTCAACATTGTGGACCCATTCACTGACTACAGCACTGAAGTGGTCATCTGGGATGTTTTCCTCTGGTTAGGGTACATCAACTCATCATTGAACCCATTCTTGTATGGTTTATTCAACAGTTGCTTTCGTAGGGCTTTCCTCCTGCTCATTGGCTGCAGGGTATGCCTGCCTGGAATCTCCTCTGGGATGGAGTTATCACATTCTAAGAAAGAGACAAAACAATAGACTGATCAGCCTTGAAATAGTTAATATATACACTCGCTTTGTAGTTTTCAAAAGAAAACAAAAGTTTTAACCCTGATGAATCAGCAAAACTCTTTATTTCTATGAGTGATGTTTAAAAACATTGATATTGATCAAAAGTGTAGATTTCCTATCATCTTATCTTTTTAATGGGAATTCTATTCGAATTGGTGCTGCGTCTGCAGTCATGCGGGTGTTGTGGTGAAGAGAGAGCTGAGCCAGAAGGCGAAGCTCTCGATTTACCAGTAGATCTATGTTTCTACCCTCACCTATGGTCACGAGCTTTGGGTAGTGACAAAAAAAAAAAAAACAAGATCGTGGATACAAGCGGCCAAAAAGAGTTTTCTCCATAGGATAGCTTGGCTCTCCCTTAGAGAAAGGGTGAGAAGCTCGGTCATCCGGGAGGGGCTCGGAGTAGATCCGCCGCTCCTCCACATCGAGAGGAGCCAGTTGAGATGGCTCAAGCATCTGGTCAGGATACCTTCTGGACGCCTCCCTGGGAAGGCACGTCCAGCATGGAGGAGGCCTAAAGGGAGACCCAGGACATGTTGGAGGGACTAGGTCTCTCACCTGGTCAAGGAACACCTCGGGATTCCCCGGAAAAGCTGGCCCAAGTGACTAGGGAGAGGGAAGTCTGGGCCTCCCAAATTAGGCCCCCGCGACCCGACTCCGGATAAGCGGAGGAAAATGAATGGACGGATGGGAATTCTACATTTTAACACCAGCGATTAAAATCAGTTTAATCCTTCTTTTTAACATGGTGTCTGAAATCACTGATCACAGATTCAATATTTCATGTGTGGCAAGAGAATTGGAAATCTGATTCAAGCATGTTGCAACAGCTTGTTCAAGGAACCACTTCTGCAAGTTAATTAGCTTTGATAACTTTCACTTTCTCTCTCGACTTCAATGATTAATTGTTCTAGTAATTAATGTTTAGTGATAGTAGATTATTTACATCTAGAGAGAAAAGCTTTCTTGCACGATAGCCAGCTACCTGACAGCTGACATCTAAGTGTCTAAAACTTGTCTCTGTGTTGAAATGCAAGAGATAAGACCTTTTAGACAATTGTTTTAAATAATGCATTTAAAACAAAAATCCCAAAATAATCCACACAGTTGAAGACAATGACTTTTAAATCTGAAACACAGAGACGTGTTTGATGGATGAGCAAAACCTGACATATAGAAACACATCTGAAACATCAGCAGGGTCCTACAACCTTCATGTGGAACACTGGCAGAAGTTGCGTTAAAGTCGATTTTGTTGCTGTAATCTCATGTGAGTGTATTGCAGATGTGGCGGGCATGGATTTTGGAGAATAAATCTTTCGTGATACTTAAAGATCTATATTCCTCTTTTTTCTTTGTGTAACGCAAATCTGGACCCAGATTGCTGTTCAAATTAGCTCTACTCAAAATAGCCAGCAACTAGCTGCAGCATGTTTCTTAATTCTCAGCCGCAGTTAGTCAAATCATGGTTAAAACTGCATCAAAGCCGTCAGTCCACAATTAGGAGCCTAGGCAGTCTGTTGCTTTGGCTGGCTCTGACTTGTCGTGAAACTGCAAGCTGTGAGAGTGTCATCCACATATGGCAGTCACTGACTTTTCTAACACAAGTCGAAAAACAGCTTTGAGTTTGTTAGATTGTTATTTATAGTCTGTTTATCCTCAGGACCATCAGGCTTAGTGAGAATAAACAGGAAGTTCATAACAAAACACAACATAAAAACAGGATTTTAATGACGGTCGTGTTTATCTTTCACATCGCTTTTGTAAGGGGTTAATTTACATCTAATTAAAGGACCATAAGACATGAGATTCCATAATGAATATGGAATCAACCTTGTGGTCCTTTGGGTAATTTTAACCAGAAGATTGGAACTTTTTATTGCAGGGATTATGTAACACTTGAGAGTCACCTTTAAAATGTTTAAGAAGATTTATTTCTAAACAATTTTAAACAATATTAACTCTAAATTCTAAATGAATGGATGGATCTGGTGTGAATGAGACATGAGATGAATGGTGTATGTGTGAGTGATGTTGTAATCAGAACTCTCATATCCGGAGAAGCAAGTCTGAATGATGATGTGATGTTTTGCTCTTAAGCTATGATCGGAATTTCATAAACACATGAGACGCCACATTGGCGCTCTACACATACCCTTCAGGATGAGACCTCCGTACAGATCCAGACTGCCAGGTCCTCCAACCCCCCTTTCGGTACCGGAGCCAATGAAACAGCGTCAGCAGTACGACAGAGTAGTCTTTGGATTGTTTCCAGGTAAAAAGCAACAATTGGTTGACAACGTCAGATGGACCCCTTTTGGGTCAGTGAGTTCCGCTTTAATTCTGAAAGGAATCGTTGCTTTGTTGGTAAAATGCAACAGATTTTATCCAGCTTGTTGGTTCTTTGCTTAAAAAGGAAGTCCGGGTGGCCGGTCCGATACTTCTCTTAGAATGCAGTGAACTGCAGAGAACTCCAGTGAACTCTTGAGAACTGTTGAGAACTGAACTAAGATGGCGTGGGAACTCGTTTTATTAATCTGGATGTTTTGATTTATGGTCGAATCAAAGTTGGCAGATTTATAAACACCACAGAGACTATGCCACACTTCAGAAAGGAAGGTTCTGATTGGATGGGTAAAAGCAATGTGTCACGCGTTTACATTACGTGTAGTCAGCGTGTCTAGTGCAGCTAGATTAAAGTCATATTACTTATTAAAGCATACTAATCATAACATTGTCACTTCACAGATTGGTCAACATTATATTATTGGCTAACAATTTATTTGATTAGCTTTATTAAAAATAGAGTTCTTTGATTTATTAAAAGGAAAGAGTCCTTCATCTTCATTCTTCTCTTGAGCTGGAAAGGAAGCAGTTTAGAAGCAAATGCATGACCTTGAGGCAGTCTCATGCAGATTACTACTGTGTCAGAGGCATCTGTGGAGAGAGGGTAAATAACCTTCGGTGGAATAGCTCCTTCATCACGTTACACTTTGTTTGGTGTTTTTACATGAAATTCATTTCTCGACAGTGTGGTGGAGTCTCTGTGGATCAGACTAAGCAGTGGAGTTTAAGATTAAAGACCTATAGGTGACAATTGTCCTCCACATTTGACCCATCCCCATGGGGAGCGATGAGCTGCAGACACAGCCGCGCTCAGGAACTATTTGGTGGTTTAACCCCCCCAGTCAAACCCGTAAAAGCTTAGTGTCAAGAGGGAGACATTGGGTCCCATTTTATAAGGTCTTTGATATGACCCGACCAGGATTTGAACTCTGATTTCCCAGTCCCAGGGCGGACACTCTATCACTAGGCCACTGAGCTGCATGGTTCCCAAGGAGGGCCACTTGCTTATGATCTTTGAGACTTTCCTAAATCCTTGTTTTTATATCTACTGTTGTCCTACTGAGGAACCACTATAGCTCCATCGAAGGCATGCCTCATCTGCAGAAAACATTTAGATTAATGTCAAAGTGGTTATCACTGCACATCTCCCAGGCTAGAACATCAGCGTGTCTCTGCTACTCCATGGGTTACAATCTGGAAACAAAAAATAAAAAATAAATTCTACAAGATGTCATCCCCCTAGAGTTAAAGACCTGTAATAAACTTACTGGAAACAATAAAATTAGTTTTAAAACGTCTGTCACTTGGTTTCAATCCAGCTTTACCTTTAGGAAGTGTGGAATGTGTGTTTAAGAGACAGTGTGTATTTTCAATGCCCCACTGCCCTGCTTTCCAGGAGCAAGATCAGCAAAAACATAAAATACTAAAATCAATGTGACATAAAACAGCAGATTTTAAAATTGCATTTCATAACACAAATAAAAGCAATAAAAATGCAGAAGTTGCAACACAAGAAGCATTCATTCAAAGGCTGCTGAGCACATGTAGTTTTGAGTTTTGATTTAAAAGTTAGAGAGTTGAGGCACATTTGAGGTCAGAAGGAAGCTGATTCCATCTGTGTGCGCCACAGTAGCTAAAAGCAGCTTCACCCTGATTGGTTCTGACCCGAGGTTCTACCAGCTGGCTGTTTCCTAAAGATCTTAGTGCTCTGGTGGGTGTATACACCTGAACGAGATCCAACATGTACTTTCGCCCTCGAATATCAATTGATACTTTAATAAGGGCAGTCTCAGTGCTGTGGTGTTTAAAGTCTGACTGAAAACCATCTAGGAGGTTATTTGTCTCCAAATTATTGTTCAGCTGGATCACAATTACTTTTTCAATCATTTTCCCAATGAATGGGAGATTAGAGGGCTATAATTTGTGAGACTTTTACAGTAAGAAAACCCATTTCAATCATGATTAAAGAAAAGTAACATTGAAACAGATGTATCTAGTTATCAACTTACTGTGTATGACTCGTCTTCGCTCATCAATCCTCTTGTGGTGATCTGTAACAGTTGCTCAGAGTGAACTGGTTAGTTTTGATACATGGACTGCAGTACCCACATGTGACCACATGATGTCATTCTTTCTTTATGCACCCTTTAAGTAATGACTGTGCAGTATAGCTAACGGGAGCAAAGTAGCAATTTACAAAAAGTTAAAAAAACAAGAGAATCTTCTGTTTTGAAAAGTTTTTTTAAAATATTTTTTATTTTTCTGTACAGCTGATGTAAACATGAAGTCAAAAAATACAAAAAAGCACATTCTTTTCACTTTGTCACTCACTGCTAATTTCACTTAGGTTTGTACATCCATACAAACCTAACAGAATAAACACTATAAGGTTATTGTTTTTTTTTCACAATGTCTTGTCAAAACAGTAACAACGGTAAATAATAGTATGTTACAGTTCAGAGTTTCTGGCAAACAATTAAAATTGCACTTATGAGAGTTCTCTGAGAGAGCTGCAGTAGGGTATTTGTTTGTTTAGCTTTTTAAAATTTCAGTCAACAAATATCAAACAAAGATGCCACTGTCATCGTCACACTGTGAATAATAATAAAACACAGAGAAGGTTTTTGGATGTCAAAATGAATAAATACACAAGAAAACCAGTATCTCACTCAAATTGGAAGCATCCATCTATCTATTGACAATAGACCCATTGAAAGGTGTTGTTTACATTCGGATAACTGCGCACATCCACACAAGCTGGAGGGCCAGAACCCCTTCTCCAGCCAGTATCCAGAGCGGTCTCTCTACACCTTTAAATTTAAACTAACAAATAAAACTTAGGGGTTTAGATATTACTACTTAGATAATCAAACGCATCTTTGTGCAGAAGAACAAAAAAGAAACATCTCAAAGCTAATGGTGTTTAGCACAAAGCTTCCAGATCTGTTTGAAACAGCTAACGAGCTGTGGGGCCATCCGGACTTCTCACAGCTGAACCAACGCAGGTGTGGCCGGATTTCTTTTGCGGGTTAATGCTGAACGCCGCTCGTCTTTGGAGATTAACGGATGATCTGTTTATTCTGATGAGCAGCTTAAACAGAAACACAAACGACGTTAGCGGTTGCCAGATCCAATTACACAACGCATTTTGTGTAATTGTTGCAACAAGACTGTTACCGCTGGTCGCACAGAACTACACCCCACACCAGTGTTGTCACTTTCACCCACGTTAATTTCTCTGGACTGATCTGATCTTTGTCGGTTGGATCTCTCCGACTCCTCGTCCCCACAGTCGTGCATGATTACTGTATAATAAAAGCATATAAGTTGTTAGATGGCTATAACTTGTTTCTGGACATGTGGGGCAGATAATTAACTTTTTCTACTCTGTCATGAGACTTTGCCACAATGTGGGTGGTTTATCCACTAGAATTGGCTGTTAACCATTGCCTCAGCATATTTTATCAGCTGGAAACCTGTAAAATGTAACTTTACTGTCCTACTTTTGTTTACTTGTGCAGCCTACAGCTCTATGTGTGTTAACTATGATAATAAATGTAATTTTTGCCACTGTTTAGCTCTGTTTATTGAAAACTAACATAAAAAACAAGTGATCAGTGGAGAGATGCCGGAGGGGGTGTAGACACGTGACGTTACACTTCATTGGCGGCGCTTATCCACACAGGGTCGCGGGGGACTGGTGCCTGTCTCCTGCAGTCATCAGGCAAGCAAATAGGAAGCATTGGCTGTGAATTCATTAAAAAAATGTCTCAAGACATTCTCAAACTTTCTTAGCTTTGTTTTGTGAGTATCAGTGTTTTCTTTCCGGAAATTTGAAAATGATCCTAAAAATGTGCAAAACATGTTTATTGAAAATAGACACAATGTTTTTGCTTGTATCTGTAGCTAATCTTTAATGTTTTTCAATTTAGTTTCCACAATGAATTATTAAAACAGACACAAAGTTAAAAGATTTAAGGACAAAATAGCAAATCTTATGCTTCCTGTGGCCTTATCGTGTATAACAACTGTTGCAAAGTGCCATGCATACTAAGTTCAACTGCAGGTTTGTCCATTTTTTCACAATTTTGTGTCTCCAAAGACTTCCCAGTGACCACAGCTGCATGAGACACTGGCTCAAGAGTACAGATGATGCTGATTGGTGTAGAAGTGTTTTTGTCAAAAATCTCAAGCTTTGAAATTTGAATGATTTAAAAACATGTCCGAGGAGTTATTTTTAATTTTAATTTTTTGTAATTCAGAATGAAAACTATTCCCAGCTTTCATGTTTTCCCAAAATCTTTCTTTGCCACAGCATTTCCTGCAAGTTGTTTCCAGTACGGGTCTTTGAAAATAAATGAAGGACTCTCTGAGGGCCCTCTAAATGTCAGTCTCTTTCAGGCCGTAGCATTCTGGCAGATCATAGAACTGAAAGTTGCTCGGCTCACACGAGCTGTAAATCCCCATAGAAACGGTGTCCACAGTATCAGTTCGGCCCAGTGCAGGTGCGGTGACTTTCCCGCCCCCTCCCTTGATTTTATTTGACAGGTTGTTCACTTTTTCTTTAAATTGAAAGGAGGACTTTTGAAGAGGTGGGAAAATGCTCCATCTCTTTAGACCCAGTGAGCAGCGTTTCCTCTTATGTAACAAAGAGCTCCCACAGGTTTCACGAACAGCAAGGCCGGCATGGTAGTCCCCCCTCTGATCCATCGTTTTCCCCTTCACGGCTGTCCGCCACCTCTGGTCGTAGAAGCGACGCAGGACTCTCCGTTTTTGGCGACACTGACACCTGAGGATTCGAGTGAAAGCCCGCTGGAACTCTTTGCTGGAGCAGGGGTAGATTATTGGGTTGATGCAGCTGTTGAAGTATCCCAGCCAAAAGATGACTTTAAACACAGTTTCAGACGGTTTCAGCGAAGGGAACAAGGAACCTAAAACGAGACGGACACACCAAAACAAAAAACAGATGAAACAACATTTTTCCAGAGTAGAAAATGTTAGTATTTTTGACTACAGAAAGCTGATTGCACCAACACTAATGTCTCGACCTTGTTATTCTTCACACACATATAAACTAAGACTTCAACAACTGTACTTGTGTAAAGATTTTTGTGTTTGTTGTGAAGTGTAACTCAGTTTAGATGGCGTTCATTTATGTTGGTGTTGCTTACAGTGTAGCTGACTCAGATCCATAAAGGTTTGAAAAGTTTCATGCATGTGTAACAAGGTTGTTTATATGGCAACGTAGAGCTTCAACCCACACAAAATTGTAAGGATGTGAAAATTATATTAAGAGAATAAAATTATCGAGTTATGATAGGATATCACTTTAATTCATGTAGTATATTATTGTGTAATCCAACTTTTTGTTCACTGCATATTGTGATCACTGGCTCAGCTGATGTTGAGTAACTGCATATTGTACGTTTTACATTACAAGACATTTTAAGACATCCTCAGGTCTAAGACATTAGATCATTGAGAAAAAAAAGTCTCAACTTTCATTCAAACACCCATTAGACGTCTGACTAAATAGTGTCAGACAAAAAGGTGTCAGGATAAAAGCCATCAGACAAACCAACAATGTTTTTCCTGATGCCTTTTGGTTTGACAATTTTTTTCCAGAAGCTGTTTTCCTGAATCCTTTTTGTCGGAAGGCTTTATCCTGAGACCTTTTTGTTTGTTTTTTTCTGTCTGATGTCTGACACCCGAGGAAGTCCTAAAATGTACACCATACTTGTGACTGTCTCTCCCAGAAGGGCACCGTGATGTTTGGGTCCACTACTGCCACAACCAAGAGCCTAAACTAACTAATGAACCCATATGAAAAGTATTGGGATCATAAACACAATCAGCCCTGTTTTGCAAGTACAACTTTATGCACAACTATACTCTAAAACCTTCAATTAGATTAGAGGTGATCGAATTGTATTTACTTAACTAAATATTGGTTTATGTAGGTTATTTTTTAGCTAATCAATTCCCAGTTGTAGTATACTATTGTGTAAACTTCTCCAGTAGAATAATTTGAACAAGTTTTTTTAATTAACTTTTTTCCACTATTTTTAAACTGATCAGACAGTATGGAACAAAAACCATGCCACTACACTGGATCAAACCCAAAAGAGAAAACAAACACAAAACAGGTTTTTCTATGAAACACTAAATCAAAACACAAAAACTATCTCACAAAAGTTTTAAAAGAATCAAAAAAATAATAAAATATTGTCCTCATCCACGCAATGACATTATGACACAAATGACAACCATACAGAAATAAAATTCTTCGAGTGATCCTCTCAGACTGTTCCAGTTTTTTTTTTCCAGAAATACACGAGACATTGTCTCTGCAACCCAGTGTGTATGTTGGTGAACGAGACTTTCTTGAAAAAAAAGGTCTTTTAGCCAGCAAACAGCAAAAGCCAATCATACTTAGATTTCCAGTAATGCGTAAAGAGTTTGCCTCCACCATTGGCTAACAGCTTTGTTATCAATTGGAGAACGCAAGGAATATTCAGATTTAATGTCCTCCACTGTCCTCGGGATGTGATCATGCCCCTGTAAGAAGATTATTTTGACAGACTCATGTACCTTGTATGTCCAGCAGACCCTCACTAAAGCCGAGTCCACAATGGAGGCATCAGCAGCGCGGATCGGCAGCGAAGCGTCACTGCTTCAAACATAATCCGTTATAGTTGATCCAAACTGGCCGAGGCGCGAAACATTTCAGGCGTGTCCCAGAGGCAGCCACGCCACACTGCTAAAAATATTCAGTTTAAAACGTCCAATAATTTTTAAAATAAAAGACTATTGCAGCGATGCAATTTCTTAGTAAATCGTCCCGTTGCCATTCCGTGCTACTGGTGCATCCAGTGTGGACCTAGCATAAAGGTTTGGGTCCTACCAGGTCTATGTAAAGCCATCTCCCACCTGGAGCAGCTAAGTGAAAAAGAGGTTAGATCTCTTTCAAAGGTTTGTGTCACACAGCCAAGGCAGCGTGTCAAAGTGAGTTAGACTAGAATTTCTTTTTAATCCCCAACTCTGTTTCCATGTCTTTCTGCTTTGGTTCACTATCTGGTGCACAATGCATCAGAACCCTTCATGCTCGTTCTGCAGGTGGTGAGCCCCGTGGACAAAAGCCTGGCCACTAGATGCTCCCACATGGACCCCAGGCCTGGCTCGGGTTCCAGAGCCTGGAAACTCTCTGTCCTGGGTACACGGGTACCTTTCATAACCTTTCCACAGAAACTCACTTGAAAAGATCTTCAAGGAAAAAGCAACATTCTTTAACACATTTGTTTTAATCTGAATTTCTAAGAAAAAGCACTAGCTTTAACTGGACTCGCATCTGCAGATCGTTGACAGAGTTGTTGTTTTTCTCCTTCCTTTATACCTGCTATGCTATTTTTAGTGAAGCCTGCTGTGAAATGCATTATTTAAATGAAAAGGTTGTCCTCTCCCGATACTTGCTGAACTGACTGGTGTTTGGATTTAACACCGCATCGATCGCTCAACACATCTCCGTAGCCCGTGTCAAGCCTTCACTGCCTCGGCTCAGAGGTGCATATTCAGTTCAATTCTCTTCACACAATGTGGAAACAAAGGAAATGGCTTGTACGTAATTTTCTGAGTAATGGCTTCATGCTGCTTTGACAGCAGCTACTAACAAAAGCAAAGAGATGTGCCATTAACCGAACCATAAAGAAAAAACAACAGCTTTGTTTACTTTTCCCTTTATGTGACGTGCGCTCCTTAAACTTTAGTTTAACTGGAATCTGAAGATTCAGTGAGCTTTTGTTTAACCTGAAAGGCTTGAAATCCAAATGAAGCCAAGGAAGGCATTGAAGGAGATCTTGTTCTCACAGAAAATGATGTAACCTTATCGAAGCAGACACCACATGATTCACCGCTCTGACGCAAAGTCAAACTCCATGACAACAACAGGTACCTGCCTTTTTTCTTCATCTTGTTTGTTTAAATAACCCCCTTTAAGTGTTGATGTTTGCAAGGTGAATGCTATTTTTGAATCCACCCTGAGTTTTTTTTATCTTAAGGCAAACTAGCAAAGCAAGAAAATATCTGAGTGCATTGAGTGCACACACACACACACACACACACACACACACACACACACACTGTCAAGAGTCTGGAGACCTGTCAAATTTATCAGGCAGTGTTTTGTGACGGCTCTTTCATGTGAACAGACACAATCCTGAACAGTCTTCTGTTACTCAGCTCAGGGAGCTATCTCCTTCACATTTAAGGCTCCGAGAGAAGGTTATATTTTAGACGAAGGCTTTTAAACCTGCTCTCACAAGGACATGAACGCACTGGCGCATTAAACTTGTGCACATCTGATTATATTCGTGTAAATGCCATGCTGACGCTTGCTGCGGAGCTGAGCTGAGCTGTAAATTTTAAGGAATTATTTTTAGTTTAGTTTAGTTTATTTCAAACAAAGAAAACATACATAATTTTTTTTAAATACCACAAACAGAAAAAAATACATATCATCATCCCTTCTTCTCTGTTTGAAAAGGAGTAGGCTGAAGTGGGAACTTATATGTCCCTACCCCTTTATACAAGTAAGTTTTACTTGTTTACCAAATCTAACACAAAACCTACATTAAAACAAACAAAATGGTAAAAGTCACCAAAAAAAAACCCACCAAACCATATGGGGAAAAAAAACAAAAAAAGAAAAAAAACACATCTTTTTACAATTGATACAATTTACTTTTCCTTAGAATAAAGGACACCCACATAAATCATCGATTTTCCACTATATACTTGTTCAGAATATGTTTTTTATAATTCATTTTAAACACATTTATATTTGTACTTACTTTGATTTCTTCTTCTAAATTGTTCCATAATTTAACCCCTATTATTGTGATACACATCTGTTTTAATGTTGTTCTAAACTTATGGATCTTTAAGTTTAGTGTCCCTCTCAGGTTATATCCTCCTTCTCTCTCCGTGAACAGTTTCTGTATTTTATCAGGCATTAATTTATTTCTTACTTTATACATTATTTGTGCTGTTTTGTATTTAACCAAGTCCTGGAACTTCATTGTCCGCGTTTTAATAAAAAGTTCATTTGTGTGATCCAAATATCCTGCATTTGTTATTAATCTGATAGCCCTTTTCTGCATTGTCGTTATTGTTTGTAAATTACTTTTGTACGTGTTTCCCCAGACCTCTACACAATAGCTCAAATATGGCAGCAGCATCGTATTGTGTAACATATAAAGTGCTTTCTTATTAAAAATATGCTTAGCTTTCCCCAATATAGCAATGCCCCATGCAAGCAATTATTCAAATGTATAAATGAAAAGTCAGTTCTTTGGCTATATTTTCTAAATATGTATTATAGTGGTTTGAAAACCTTCATTGAAAATGAATATGTTATTCATGTGATCATTAACTTCGGATTTTTTTAAATTATGGTTTGAAGTATTTTTTAATTAATTTTTTTTACACTGGCCTCTGCCCTTCATAAATGCTGGTCTTGACCCTTTGTCAGACTTTTGGTCTTGGTCTCTAATGACTTCTGAAAAATTGTAGCAATAGACCCAAATCTCTTGACAGCCAAGGAAGATTTTGGAAATAGAGGGCAACAAAAATAACCTAGAAATATCTAAACCAACTGTAGCAGTGGCAAAAAGATTTAGTCCTGCAGGTCGATCTATCCATGCTCCATTGTAGCAGGAATACCGTTGGCCTGAACAGTTTTGTATCTGGCCAGTCACAGCTCTCTACCTTTTTATGATGGGCTTAATGCTAGAACTACAATAAAGAAAAACTACAAAGATGGTGTCGCTTCTGGAATGTTGCTCATTTGAAACAGCTTTAGCTACCTTTTGATTTGTGACATCTTCTTGGACGGTGTACGGTGGACTGCCCTGTATACTGACACCCGAAGTGGTGA